GGAGAGCGAGATGGTGTTGGAAGTTTGCGAGACAATGCTGGGCAAGGAACGATCCAGGGACTTGGACGCGAAGGACAGCTGGCTCCAGGCTGCAGAGTGTTTCTCGCTTGGCGGAGTCTTCTGAAACTGGCCGTTTCGCCGGAGACATATTCCGAACAATGAGAACTCAAAGGGGTTATGGTGAGATGTCTTATCGCTAACAAGGAAGCTTTCGCTCGAGACATCCTCAACAAGTGGAGTTGCTGAGATCGATCGCGAAATCGATCGAATACCTAGAGATGGCAGTTCTGCCTGAGACATCCATGTTCCGTATAACGATCATACATCCACGACGTCTGATCGTTACACGTGAAGTTCTCGCTCGAGACATCCTCGAACAAGTGGATATGTTGGATTTGCTGGTGCATATGACGTATCTTCAAGGATGGGGCTCTCGCTGGGGACATCCACGCGATCATCTTCGGAGGGGGCCCTGAACACCCTTCAAACAATGCCGTGTTGAAGGAGTTGTTGTAGCACGTCTTATATGGCGGGAGGCGCCTTTTCGTCATCGTCACTGATATCATCATCAGCAACATCGTCGTCATCGGCATCATCATAATCGTCATGCCATCGTCATTGCGAGTACCATCCGGCACAAACACACGCACACGATACAACACATAACACATTCAACGCACATAACACACACACACTACGCCCCAGCGCGCACCACTCGTACTAAACGCAATGCGTACACATTCCGTTCGCCCCTCACTCCCGCCCGCCAGGCATTCACCCCGTACGAACACCGTACACGCACCCCCGCCCGCCCGCCAGGCACACCCCGTACGCACACCGTGCGCCCGCCCCGTATACGGGGCGGGCGCACGGTGTGCGTACGGCGGGGTGTGTATACACACCCCGCCGGTCTGATCTGCGGGGCGAGAGCGAACCTCTTCCGCTAAAAGCTAGGCGGGGGACGCACCGCTTTAATTAGGGAGACAGGGCACAGGAAGGCGGGGCCTCAGGCGGCCGGAGCGGGCGGGGCCCGGGGAACAAGCGGTGCCGATGTGGATGTGCAGGAAAAGGTACGCCATGGACAGGGACCGATGGCGAAAACCCGGAAGGCGAAGGAAATGGTGTTGCCGTCAACGGCACTTCGCGAACACCAGCTTCAAGCACTGCAAGGGAGGACGCGCCACTTGACCAGGTCGACGCCCAGGAGGAAGAAAAACACCACGAAGGTGATGAGCAACGTTGTGCCACCAGATGATGCAGAGGAGGCCTGGGGTGGTAGTCCAATCCACGACCAGGTAGCAGCGTAGTTTGAGGTGCGGCCTCCAAACGAACGGGCCGCCCATGACCGACAGGAAGTCGGTGGGCTGCAGGGAGGAAGCCTGCCCTGCATCGACAGCGCGTGAAGACGGGCAGCAGCCACACACGATGCGCGGACGTTCGCAATGCTAAGGGCTGGGCCTGAGCCGCGCAGCGCCATGGCGAGCGGGGCCGCCGAGGCGGCAAGGTGCAGCGCCTAGCACTGGGCCGAAACCGCGCAGTGCCGGGCGTTGCCGCCATGGGAGAGGGGGGAAGCGAGCGGGAGGGGAAGAAACGAACAGGAAGGAAAAGGGCCGGCGCTCACCGCCAGCCGTCGACGTGCCAGCCCGCACCATCGGTGCTCACGTGGGAGGAGCTGGGCACCCTGTGGGATCAGGTGGGACACGAGGTCCCAATACACGTTAAAGACAGGAGGGGGGGTGGGGAGCAGGTAACATAGACGGGGACCAGGTGGACCAGTACGCAAACGCCGCTAGTGGAGCCGTGCGCGTACCATGTGCACCGCTACAGCGCCCGTCTTGCTGCGCGTGTCTGCCCCGTGCACCTGACGGGGGCGCCCGTGGGCTGCCAGGCTCCTGGACCAGCCTTCCAGCCAAGGCCGTGGGGGAACAGGTGGGGGGGAACAGGAGGACACACGGTCCCAAGCCAGGTGGCGAAGGGGGAGGGGGAAGGGGGAACAGGTGGTGGGCGTGGCCAGCGGTGGGTTGGACAAGGATTTTTCTGTAAGTCGGTGGGAGAGGAAGAAGTCGGTCGCGGCCTGCTGCGCCTGACGGGGGGGGCCGGTTGCAGGCTGGTCAGCGCTTGGGGCGCTTCCCGGTCCAGTTATCGTTGTACCCGGAGCTGCGCGCCTGGCCTTCCCCGCGCCGTTCACCTAACCTCCTTTTTCTTTTGGACATCCTGGTACTGGGCCTTTTCCCGGTCCCAGTCCACGCAGACGCCTGCGTACCGCGACCACGTCTCCACGTGGTGGTTGCAATTGTCCATCTCCTCCAGAAATTTGCCGATTATCTTGGGCTGCCAGCAGTTCGGGTCGAACGCAACCTGGTCTTTGGATTTGCCTTTGCCCTGTTCCTTGCGCACGTGTGCCTGCACCACGAGTGCCGGGCTGCGGTGAAGTGGTATCCTCCCTCAGCCTGCAGCCTCTTCAGGTGTGTGACTGCTGTCTCGTGTGAGCGGCGTGGCCAGCTGGCGCGATGGATTGTCCGTGGGCGGGGGTCAGGGTAGCGGATACACACCCTGCACAGACGCGCGCCCACGCGCACACACGCACACAGCCGCACACATAGGTACCCGCACGCATACGCGCGGGGCGCAGCCTCCAGGCACGGCGGCTCGAGAGCCCGCTCGGGGACACACAGACACACATACACATACACTTGCACATACCCAGACACATACACGTACACACACACGCATACACACACATACACACACACACACACACACACACGCACACACGCACGCACGCACGCACGCACGCACGCACGCACGCACGCACGCACGCACGCACGCACGCACGCACGCACGCACGCACGCACGCACGCACGCACGCACGCACGCACGCACGCACGCACGCACGCACGCACGCACGCGCACGCACACACACACACACGCACGCACGCACGCACGCACGCACGCACGCACGCACGCACGCACGCACGCACGCACGCACGCACGCACGCACGCACGCACGCACGCACGCACGCACGCACGCACGCACGCACGCACGCACGCACGCACGCACGCACGCACGCACGCACGCACGCACGCACGCACGCACGCACGCGCACGCACGCACGCACGCACGCACGCACGCACGCACGCACGCACGCACGCACGCACGCACGCACGCGCACGCACGCACGCACGCACGCACGCACGCACACACACATACACATACACACATACACACATACACACATACACACATACACACATACACACATACACACATACACACATACACACATACACACATACACACATACATGCACATGCACATGCACAGACACAGACACAGACACAGACACAGACACAGACACAGACACAGACACATACACATACACATACACATACACATACACATACACATACACATACACATACGCATACGCATACGCATACGCATACGCATACGCATACGCATACACATACACATACACATACACATACACATACACATACACATACACACACACACACACGCTCACGCACACACGCACACACGCACGCACGCACACGCGCGCACGCACGCACGCACGCACGCACGCACACACGCACACACGCACACGCGCACACGCACATGCGCGGGGCGCAGCCTCCAGCACGGTGGCTCGAGAGCCAGCTTGTGGGGGCCGCAGCGCCGCGAGCTTGCGTCGCCAGAGACTGGCGCGGTGACTGGCACTCCAGCCCTCGTAGCACCGAAAGCACCGAAAGCAGGCGCACACGCGCACGCACACATGCACAAGTTCACACGCGCACACACACGCACACAGAACACCCGCAACAGTTGACCCAAGCAATCGCAGTCAACCGGTTTTCACAAGCTGCCAATGGCAACCATCTGGGCATTCAGGGGAGCCCAGCGACCACTCCCCATTTGCACACATGCGTGTTGGGTGCTATCCGTGCGCGCGTGCGCACGCGAGCTCAGAGAAGCGGCGCTTCCCGCTCTTGCCAGGACAGGTTCCGGGAGCATGGCCGTTTCGTTCGAGGCATTCTCCAACAGAAATGGTTTCGGAGGGGGCTGCGAACCAACGTCGTCTTGGAATCGCTCCTGGAGGGGCCCACCGTGGCCCAAAAGAACCCCCCAAAGCCAGCCAGCGGACCCCCCAAAAAGGGCCCCAAGAGAGTGCCAGGAGGCTCCCAGGCAGCCCAAGGCAGCCCAAGATGGCACCAGGACGGCCTGAGAGAGCCCCCACAGAACCGTAAGGCACGCCCAGACTGGCCACGAAAACCCCAGTAGCCCCTAAGAGGACCCCGACAGGCCCCCAAGAGGCCCCCAGGTTGCCCCAAGATAGCCCTAGAAGGCCCAAACAGCCCCCAGGGTAGCATCAAAAGATCACGAGGGCCTCCCCCTTCTTCGGCGTCCTTTTCCTCGGGCTCCTCACCTTCCTCCTTAGTCATCGTCGTCCTCCTCCTCCTCCTCCTTCTCCTCTTCCTCCTCTGCTTCCTCCTCCTCCTCCTCCGCTTCGTTCCTCCTCTCTCTCGTCATCCAACTCTCCCTTCCTCGTCCTTGTGCTTGTCTTCCTACTCGTCGTCCTCCTGTCATCCATTCTGTCAGCCGCGTCATCCGCCGCCTTGTCGTCGCCATCATCCTTACGAGCCCACTGGACAAACTCGGCGCTTCCCGTTCTTGTACGATCAGGTTGCAGCACCGTCGGTGCATCCTGGGTTTACTTTGGTTCGGGGGCCGATTTATGCACCCCGCGCGCGCACCTTGTGCCCGACCAGCTCGTTTGAGTGTGGGGGGTGTACACGAAGTCGCGTCCCCAGAGGATGCCATGTTTGAACGCAACCCACGGCCGTGTGCCAGACCAGCTTGTCTGTGGGGGTGGTGTGCAACAACATGCTACAACCGTGCCCACACTGGTCCATCTCCTGCTTCTCCTCCTCCTCCTCCTCCTCCTCCTCCTCCTCCTCCTTCTCCTCGCCCAGAGGATGTACACAAAAGCCGCTGGCAGCCCTCGAGTGCCTGGGAGACATGCTCACGGACCTGTTCCTGGACCTGCGCGGCGTGTGGCCCAAGGCGCGGCGGCGAGCGGGGGCCAGGGCAGACGGCACCGAGCGTCGTGGAGGTCTTGGGATTCTGGGTGTCCTGTTCCGTTGTCCTCGGGGGGGGGTCTTATTTTTGGGGGGTCATCCCGTCTCTTCCTCCTCCTCCTCCTCCTCCTCCTCCTCCTCCTCCCTCCCCCCTCCCTCTTCGTCCATCCTCCGCCTCTTCCCTCCTTCTCCTCCACCTCCTCTTCCTCCCCCATCCTTTCCTCCCTCCTCCCTCCTGACTCGTCCCTCCTCACGTGGGGAGACGGAGGAGGATAAGGATGGTGAGGAAAATGATGATGGTAGTGATGATGATGATGATGGTGATGATGATGATGATGATGATGATGATGATGATGATGGTGATGATGGTGATGGTTATGGTGATGATGATGATGATGCTGCTGATGATGATGCTGATGATGATGATGACGATGATGATGATGTTGATGATGATGATGAGGAGGAGGAGGAGGAGGAGGAGGCAGAGGCGGAGGAGGACGAGGATGAAACGATGCAGGAGGGGGATGATGAGGAGGGGAGGAGGGCAAGGAGGAGAGGGAAAAGGCAGGGACGGTGAGGACGAGAGGAGGAGGAGGAGGAGGAGGAGGAGGAGGAGGAGGATCCGCACCGCCACAGGGGGCCATGGCCCCCCCTGCTGGTCGAGCCCCCGCTCCTGCGCCGCCCGCGGTCCTGAGGGACCTTACGGGCGCGCGCCTTGCAACAGGCGCGGGCGTCAACGAAGTGGGGGGGTCGTCGGCCCCCCCCCCCAGCAGGCCAACATGTGCCCAGAACTTGAGAGTAACATCCAGGCGCCCTGAGAGATCCTGGCGGCTCAGTGGTTTCGAGCTGGCCGCTTCTGCTCCACTGCGGGCCCCGGGGCCGGCACAGATCGATCCTGCTCGAAGAATGATGCAGCAAGATTGGGTCCAGGGGTCAGGCCGTGAGTTTTTGCGATGTTGCATTTTTTGTGCAACGTCGGATCTCAGGGTGTGTGTGGCCGTCTCGCTGATGCCTTTTGGACGCGCCAATGACCCGCGACCCCCCCGTCCAGCCCCATGGGGGAGGGGGAGGGGAAGGAGTCGAGACACCTCTCCCGAGGCAAACTGTTTGGCTCACTCCCACCCGCCCTCCCAACTCATAAGTAGCAACCGAGTCTCCACTTATTCTGCGGTCACTTTTGGATGGTCAGCTACTGCGAGGTGCGCCACATGCGCCACGTGCTCCACGTGCGCCAAGTGTTCCGCATGCTCCATCCGCGCCAGGTGAGCCACGTTCGGGGTACGCGCAGAGTGTGCCAGATGCGCCCGCGCACATCGGGAAACATGTCGCCCCCCGCCGTTCTTGTCGAAAGCGAATGCGCAATCGCGGCGGAGTTGCCATCATGATGTCTGGTGGGCCTGCACACAGCAGGCAATATGCCAGCAACCCCTCCGTCCTTGTCAGAAACCAATGTAAAGTAATCGCAGGGTGCCCGCGCATGTTCCAGATCTAGCCGCAAAATGCAGTTTGCATTGTTCCCAACCATCCTGGGCTCTCTTTTTGTTGACTAGAGCTCTGTTGGCCCTACCTCCTCCTTCTCCCCCTCCTTCTCCCACCCCCTCTCCTGCGCTGTTCCTGCGCTGCTTTCTCGGTGGCTGGGAACTGCGCAAATGTCGCCACTTTCGTGGGCTCTTTGGAGGCACGGCGGAGTATCGGAGTGCTCGAACCCAGGAGGGACTTCGCAATTACCTGCGGGGGTGCGAATTGCGAAACTGTCGCCACTTTCGTTGGCTCCTGGGAGCCACGGCGGAGGAGCGGAGTAAACGGACCCAGGCGGGACCTCGCAGCTCCTTGGGGGGGCCGCGCACTGCGCAACCGTCGCCACTGTGGCATGGGCCCCTGGGATGTCCTGCGGGGTGGAGGCACACGCTGACCCAGGCGGGACCTCGCGGCTACCTGGGGGGCTGTGAACTGCGCAACTATCGCCATTGGAGGCGCGGCGGAGTAGCAGAGTACACTGGCCTAGCCGGAATCTCGCAGCTCTTTGGGGGTTGCGCTGGGCAGCCGTCGCCATTTTCGTGGGCTCCTGGGGGGCACGGCGGAGTAGCGTAATACACGAACCCAGACGGGATTTCGTTGTTCCCGGGGGGGGTGCATGCGCAATTGTGGCCACTTACGTGGGCTCCTCGGAGGCACAGCGGAGTAGCGGCGTAAACGGACCCAGGCGGCGAGATTTCGCAGCTCCCTGGGGGGCTGCGCACTGCGCAACCGTTGCCATTTTCGTCGGCTCCGGAGGTGCACGGCGGAGAAGCGGAGTAACAGGACCTCGATGCTCCCTGGGGTCTTGCGAACTGCGCAATTGTCGCCACGTTTGTGGGTGCTTGGGGGGCGCGGCGGAGTAGCGGCGTAAACGGACCCAGGCAGGACCTCGCAGCTCCTTGGGGGGGCCGCGCACTGCGCAACCGTCGCCATTGTCGCATGGGCCCCCGCTGTCCCTGTCAACAACCCATGCAAGTGATCGCCAGGGGTCCGCGCATGATCCAGATTGCGAAGGCCTTACGGCCAGTGCCGCCGACCCTGAAGAGGGGGGACGGGGCCTCACCCGGGAATCTCGCGGGCGATTTCCCCCCGAAACCCTCGGGACTCTTGGATGGCGGCATTCTGACCCCGGAATCCCCTCCGCCCGGGCCCCCACCCTCAAGCAGGGAAGGGAAAAAAGCGAAGGGGCTTCCCTTCCACTTAACTGCGGCGTTTTTCAAGTTCCTTGTTCCTCAATGTCCTTGGGACTGGAGACGATCCTTGGGGCTGTCCTTCGACTTGACGACGACGACGGCGACGACGACGACGACGACGACGACGACGACGACTTCAGCGTACTCCACACGCTGAAAGGTCGACGGATTTTGGTTCAAAGTGCATTTGTATTGTTTTTGTTTCAAGGGATGGTGGGGGGGGGCATCGTCGTGGGTTTGCCGCGGGTCAGGAAGGGCGAGGGGCGTGTATTAATAAGCAGCTGTGATCAAGTTCCCAGCGAGAACGCTGGAAGCTGTCTCGCTCACTCCCCGCCCTCCCACTACATATGTAGAACCTGAGTCTCAGCGTCGGCATGGGCCGCCATCGACAACCGTCGGGAACCAATGCAGGCGCCCGCCAGGTGCGCGACCCGCAAAGTGCGCTCCGCGTGTCAGGGCCCTCCTGCCATCCCTGTCAACTCACAATGCAAGATGATCGCCGGGCGCCCGCGCATGACCGTTGCTGGAGGGTGCATGTAGTTTTTTTGACAACGATGATTGGCCTGCGCACAGGAGGCAATATGCCGACACCCCCCTCGTCCAGGACAACACAACGATGTAGCGTGATCGCTTGGTGCCCGTGCATGATCCAGATTTTGCCGCACCTTGTGCTTTGCATTGTTTTGTTGACAGGGATGGTGTGGAGGGGTCATGGTTCCGGGTTCGCCCCTGGTCAGGTGGGGGAGGGGACGTATACTATCAGGGAACAGTGATGGCCCCCGCCCCCCGAAGGGGCAGCAGGGGAAGAGCAAACGCCCTGACCACCTGCGCCCTACAGGGCGGGTGGGATTTCCTCGGCAGCAAATCATGGGAGCCTGGCGTACCCTCTGAAATCCGCCGACACGCGTCGAATAGCGCCGGGGGGTCGATGAGATAGCGCCGTAGTGGCGTCGGCCAGCGCCGAATAGCGCCGACGTAGCGTCGATTGGCGTCGGTTTGGCGCCCACTCGCAGGAGCCGACGGGCTGGTATGGGGGGGGGGGGCTCCCACGAGTTGCCACCGAAGAGTTCGTCCGCGGTCCCTGGGCGTCTCGACCGCCCCCCCGGGGCAGGCCTTCGGGCGGCCGCTGGAGACCGAAGCTCGGGAAGGTCGAACTTTACGCTCCACGGGCGGGCGGCGCTTCTCCAAAATAGCTCATGCTCCGCCCTCTCGAGAGGTTCGGCTTACGTCGAGCCTGTCCCTCTACAGGGGAAACATTCAAGCACTGTCAAGAAGTAGTCGGGTAACGACTTTCGGTATATTGTTTCTGAGTATGTTTGAATGGTTGTGGGCTATCTTTAATTTTTCGCCCAAGATCCGCCTGTAGGGGGACATTCCCGACCTACATGTACGCTCCAAGGACGAACAGCGATTCTCCAAAAACCCTCAAGGGTTTAGGCCTCCCAGGTGGGGTCGGAGTAGATGGGGCCAGGGGATCGCGCCGCATCGCCGATGCATCGGCGATGCGGCTCGATGTGGAGCTCGCTTTTCTCCACGCCGACGTCGCCGATGCATCGCCGATGCGGGGCGATCCTCCGACCCCATCTACTCCGACCCCATCTAGGAGGCTTCTAGAGCATCGAGGCCGAAATTTAGCAGGTCGGAGACGGCGCCCCGCGCAAGAGCGCCCGCAAAGGTGGCGCAGGCGGTCAGCATGCGGAGCGACGTCATGCGTGACGCCTGTCTGGCAGCGCACCGCCTCGCGACACGCTGGGGCCTTCGTCGTCGCCGTCCTCGCCTTCGTCGACCTTCGCCGCCTTCGTCGTTCTCGCCGTCGATGCCGTCGTCGTCGCCTTCGTCGTCGGCGTCGCCTCCGCCGTCGTCGGCGTCGCCTTCACCGTTGTCGTCGCTGCCGCCGATGGCGTCGGCGACGTCTCCGTCGGCGTCTTCGTCGCGGTGGTTGCTTCAGCTCCTGTCCCCACTCCTGCCTCTAGTTGTATGTCGGGGGGAGCTCCTACAGGGCCATATTAGGGAACCTTCGTGTCTGGTGCCCGCCAGGTCCCCGCAGGAGATGTCGCAGGCCCAGCAGAAAGTTCCCGCAGAGACGCAGCAGAGACGCCGCAAGGCTTCTGCAGAGTGTTTTTGGGACCCTGCTGTTCCTCAAAACCGCTTCTTGTCTACATGCGCGGATTCCTTCCCTGCGTATTTGTTATTCCATCACAACTGCGCGCCCAGAGGCGCGCAACAGCAAAGCGTTCGCACGCCAATGCGCTGACTTCACCCATGCGCACGCACGCACGGCATGACACCACCATCATCCAGAGACGCACGTCGCAAGGCGCGCCAGCGACTCAGAAGTCCTGCTACCCAAAAAGACGGCTTGACAAGATGGATCCACCAGTGATGCAACAGGTGGCGGGTGGGAACTACGGTCCGCTACCACTATCACGGGTAACTATACCCGTACCGTTCGCGCCATACGGCGCATGTGTGTGCCAGACCACAATGGCGACGCGGAAAGGGGGGCGGAGGCGGAATGGGGGGAGGGAGGGGGGCAGGGGAAGGTGCGGGATGAGGACGGTGGAGAGGAGGGAGGGGGGAGTGGGGGAGGAGGGACAGAGATACAGGACGAGAGGGAGAAAGGAAGGGAGGTAGAGAGGGGGAGAGAGATAGAGAGGGAGAGAGAGAGAGAGAGGCAGAGAGACAGAGAGAAAGAGAGAGAGAGGACTTGAGAGAGAAAGGGGGAGACGTAGGAGGCAGAGATCCTCGTCATCCCCTCATCCTCCTCATCAGCTTCCTCCTCCTGCTCCCTCCTCCTCCACCTCCTTCTCCTCCTCCTGCTCCTCCTCGCCATCATCATCATCATCATCAGCATCACCAGCATCATCATCAGCATCATCATCATCATCAGTCACCACTTGTCATTCATCAATCATCATAGCCATCATAATCATCATCACCATCATTATCAGCAGCATCATCATCACCATCATCAGCACCATCGCCATCATCATCACCATCATCACCATTATCCAGCATCATCATCATTATCATCATCACCAAATCATCAGCACCAAGACCAGCAGCATCCTTCTCATCATCAGCAGCAGCAGTATCATCATCATCATCATCATCATCATCATCATCATCATCATCATCATCATCATCATCATCATCATCATCACCACCATCATCATCATCATCATCGTCCTGATCATCCTCACCATCCCCATCATTACCCTCCTCCTCATCCTCCTTCTCCTCATCCTCCCCCTGATGTTCAGTATCATCTTCTTCCTCCTCCTCCTTCTCATTCTCCTCCTGTGTCTCCTCCTCCTCCTCATCATCATTATCCGTCTCATTCTCTATCCCTCCTCACCCTCCTCATCCTCATCCCCATTGTCTCGTCCCTCTCCTTCTTTTCCTCCTCATCCTCCTCATGATCATTGTCCTCCTCATCCTCCCCACCCCCTCCCTCACCCTCCTCCTCCTCCTGCTCCTCCTCCTGCTCCTCCTCCTGCTCCTCCTCCTCCTCCTGCTCCTCCTCCTCCTCCTCCTCCGCATTATCCCCCTTATCCCGCGGGCCGGCGGGTCGTCCTTGGACGAGAGCCGTTTCGTCGACTAGCGGGAGGGGATAGTGCCGTACGCGCTAGCCCGCCGCACCCGCCCCCGGCGACGACGACGACGACGATGATGGGGATGAGGAGGATGATGATGATGATGATGATGATGATGATGAGGAGGAGGAGGAGGAGGAGGAGGAGGAGGAGGAGGAGGGTAAGGAGGGGGACAGGGAGGATGAGGAGGACAATGAGGAGGTGGAGGATGAGGGGGAGGAGGAGTAGAAGGAGGGGGATGAGGATGGGGAGGAGGATGATGGCGGTGAGGAGATGGCGGAGAAGGGCAAAGAGGAGGAGGAGGATGCGGAGGAGGAGGAGGCGGAGAAGGGTAAGGAGGATGAGGCGTGTAATCACGATGATATCGTTTGTGTGTTGCACTGTCTTTGTATTAGGGCATGTGTTTCACAGGTGAACAGGTGTTTTTCACATGACAAACCCCGAACCTACTTCGCAGCAACAGTCGCCGCATTCGTACTGCAACTTCATAGCCTTGCAGGCCCGCTCAACAAACGCTTTGGGCAGCTGATCCCACGTCGCGCCCTCCTTGGTTGCCAGTTTCTTGATGGCACGGACCTGCCTCGTCATTCCATCCTTGCTGAATTTTGCCGAGCACAACGCCGCCACCATGCCTTCGATGTGATTCTGCGTCAAAGCGTTGAGCTTCTGCTTGGCCTTCGCTTGGACGTCGGGGCTCGGCACCTTGGTGAATACGCTGGCGGTGTCCTCGTATTGCTTCAGGGCCTGCCTGACCTTCGTCGACTCATTGGTATGGCTCTTGGCCGCGTGGCTGCACATGCCGATCTTCGCCATGGTCAGCACTTCGCAGAGGTCGTTCTGGTCCTGCGCCTCCGCCCACCACGATTCTCCCTCGGTCCCGCCTAGCGCCCAGTTCGCAGCGGTATTCACCCTCTCGACCAGTCCCGTCTTCGAAGACTCCGTAGCCCCCGTCAGGACTCGATCACGCGCCGGTGTAAAAGAGCTTCATGCGCAATATCAGAGCATGGTGCTTTTGCGTAGTAATTTATTTGCGCTTGCTCGGGGTACTCCAGCATTGCTGTTTGATGGCTTTTCGAGAGGATTCGCGTTTCTTCCCGCGAGGTCTTGTGGGGTCTCTGCGGGGCCCCCGTGGAAAGTTGTCAGGGCAATTCTCGAGGGCCTGCGATACCCTGGTAGGAAGCTGGCGGGGAAGAAAACGACATGTCCGTGACATGGCCCTGTGGGAGCCCTCCCCGACAGAACTGTAGTTGGTGATTGCTCCTTCCCCCATCCTGCTCTCGCGCGTGCTCCACGCTCCGACATAATTCGGAGCGGCGGGTTCTTGTGGCCGTGTTTGGCCTGCGAAGGCCCTCGCAGGGCCTTCTGGGACCGTCAGACAACGCCCGAAAAGCTGGCCCTGGGGAGGTGGTCCAGACCTCTGGGTCAAGCAGTGGCGAAGCGTCCTGGCTCGCCTAAAGCCCTACCGAACAATGTTCTAAGAACCTGTTGTAGTTTCCACGAAATGTTCTCAGACCGTTTCTGGCGGAGTCTGTCTTGTTTGATCACATCGGGCTCATGTTCTAAGGACACTGTTTTGTTCTTAGAGCACTTTTGGGTTCTGAGAACATTTCGTGGTAGGACTGGGACGGTCGGTCCTTGCTCAGCTGGGGCCCCTGCGTCGGGAAAATTGAGGCGGCCGGATATCTGGGCTTCGCGGATCCTCCTCCCGCCACCGGAGCCTGGCCCCCGCAACCCGACCACCCCCCGCGACAGGGGGTCCGCCGATCCCATGGGAGGCCGTGCGTCGGGGGCTCGCGCGGAGCCACGACAGGAGCCTGCCCGCTGTCCCTCGTCGCCGCCTTCGTCGCCTTCGTCGTCGCCGCCGTGACCGTCCTCACCGTCCGCCGTCAACGTGCTCGTCGTCACCGTCGTGGTCTTCCTTGTGCTCATCCTCGTCCTCGTCCTCGTCCAGGTACCCATAACGCTACCCTCGCCTCGTTTTCCCCTTGTTGGGCCTTCTGGGAGGCCCTCGTCGCCAGCGCTGGATTCGCCTCGAAGTCCTGGTCAGAACGCACCCCAGGAGAGCTCCGGGGAGCAGCGGTATCGGTACTGTCTTTTGGTTTCCCCAGTCGCTCTCGCTGTCACCGTCTGTTGCCGCTGCCGCCGCCGCAGTCTTCGCCGAAGCCGTCGCCATCCTCGTCTTCCGTCGCCGTCGTCGTCGTCGTCGTCGTCGTTGTCGTAGTCTTTGTGATCGTCGGTCGTCGTTGTCGTCGTTGTCGAAGTCTTCGTAGTTATTCGTCGTCGACGTCGTCGCTGTCGTCGTCGCCGCCGGCGCCGTCGCCGTCGCCGTCTCACTCGCCGTCGCCGTCTCACTCGCCGTCGCCGTCGCCGTCGACGTCGCCGTCGCTGTCGTCGTCGTCGTCGTCGTCGTCGTCGTTAATGTCGTCTTCGTCTTCGTCTTCGTTGTCGTCCGTTGTCCGCCGTCGCCATCGTCGTCGTCGCCGTCGTCGTCATCGGCCTCCTCCTCCCCTCATTTCCCTCCTTGCCACCTCCCCGCGCTACGGGGAAAGTGATGAACCATGACAGCTCGAGTACTGTACTTTGCGCTGCCACTTGCACCGCTCGACCCGTCCAGTCCAATCCTCGTCCTCCCAAAGACCACTACTCGTCTTCGCCGTCCTCCTCCTCCTCCTCGTGCTGGTCCTCCTCGTCCTCCTCGTCCTCCTCCTCCGCCTCTTCCTCCCCCTCGTCCTCCTCGTCCTCCTCCTCGTCGTGGCCCTCCTCGTCCTCCTCCTCCGCCTCTTCCTCCCTCTCGTCCTCCTCCTCGTCCTCCTCCTCGTCGTGGCCCTCCTCGTCCTCCTCCTCCGCCTCTTCCTCCCCCTCATCCTCCTCCTCGTCCTCCTCCTCGTCGTGGCCCTCCTCGTCCTCCTCCGCCTCCTCCTCCTCCTCCTCCTCCTCCTCCGCCTTCTCCTCCCCCTCGTCCTCCTCCTCGTCCTCCTCCTCGTCGTGGCCCTCCTCGTCCTCCTCCCCCGGCGCTGGCTCCGGCCGCCCCCCTCGGGCCGCGGCCTCGCGCCGGGCGGCCGCCTCTTCGCAGCCGCGGCTCCACCCCCTCCCCGCGCCGCGGCCCCGCGGCCTCCCCGCTGCTCGGCGGCGAGCTCCTCCTCCTCCTCATCCTCCTCCTCCTGTTCCTCCTCCTGTTCCTCCTCCTCCTCCTCCTCCTCCTCCTCCTCCTCCTCCTCCTCCTCGGCGGATTGCGCCCCCCCGCTCTGCGCGCCTCCCCCCCCCGCGCGCACGGCGGCCGCGCACGCGGCTGTGCAGGCGGCCCGGGGCCGGGCTCGGCCGAGCCTCGCGCCGTCCGGGCGCCTCTCTCGCCGCAGGCCCCCGGGCGCGCGAGCAGCCGCCCGAGGGCGGTGCCGGCGCCCGCCCCGCCCGTGCAGCGCGCGGGCAGCGCGCGGCGCGCGGCGCGTCGACGCCGGCTGCTCGTGCCGGCGGAGGCGGGCCCCCGCCCACGGGGTGGTGGTGGCCACGCCATCTAGCCTGCCCCGGCTTTGGGCAGGGACGCGCGTCGGGGGGGGAAGGGGTCTCCCCTCTCCCTGTCGGGGTGGTGAGTGGGGACTCGAGGTCACCGCACGGTTCCGGGGCTCGGGTCGTTCTCCGAGGACGTCTCGGGCGACTTCAGGGGCGGAAAAGAGGGGGGTGATGACTAATTAGGGGGGGTGGATATCATGGCGTGGGCCATGATATCTCCCCAGATTTCGTGGAGCCTCTTCTTATTTCATTACGTCCCTGGCCCCCCCGCTGGGCCGCGCACATGCCGCCGGTCATGATTTGCACTCCCCCCTCTTGGACACCCCCCTCTTGGCCGCTCCCGAGTCTCGGGCGACTGGGGCCTCCAGGGTCTCAGGTTGGCCGTGTGGTGACGGACCCTGCGGTGAGGTCTTTGGGGGATTCGAGGTCACCGCCGGGTCTGTCACCACACGGTGTTCAGGACCCCCGGCTGACGGATGTGGTCATCTTGCTCCTGTTGCTGCTGATGCTCGTGCTCAGTTCCAGGACAGCGGCATGAGTGTCGACGTCACGGTGCAGGAGCGCACCGCTCCCATTCGTGCGCCTCACTTGCCTGATCCTGTTGACGTGGCGGCCCTCGCTCCCGATGAAGGCTATGCCGCGCGTGCTTGCCGTGAGCGCTTGGAGACATCATGGCGACGTGCGGCCGCTGTTCCAGAGGAAGATCCTGCTGCGCGCCCCCGCAGACAACGCCGTGATCGCGTTGAGGCAGAATGGCTTCTCCGACGAGCTGCCGGGGAATCAGCTGCACAGCCTCCCCATGGTCGTGATCCTGCTCCTGCCGACACTGCGGCACCCGGCTCCTGCAATTGGCAACGGGACCAGCAAGGACTTGGACAAGGGCACGGCAAGAGTCATCGATTTGGGCCTCACCCCTCGGCGGTCAGGGTTGCTGCAGGTGCCACGTTTAGGGTGACGACCGTCTGTCCAGGCTCCGCGCCGTGGTGGGCCGGCGCGCCGCGGGTGCCACCAGCGCACCGCCGCCCCCACGCCACTGCGCGAGCGGCTTCCACCTTCGTCGCCATCGCCGCCGTCATCGGTCGCTTCGCTGCAGGCGTCTTGTCGTCGTCGTCGTCGTCGTATCGTGTCGTTGTCGTCGTCGCCGTCGTCGTCCGACGTCGTCGTCGTCTCCGGCTGCCGCCTGTTTCTTCCTCTATGCCTGGGCCTCGTGCCACCTCGCGGGCGCGCGCGCGGGGCGAACCTAGAATACTGGAATCTTGTACTCCTGCTCCTCACCATCGTCCTCTTCCGCGTCATGGTCCTGCTCCTCTTCCTCCTCCGCTCCGTTTCCTTATGAGTAACTCCCTTTCGCACCCCGAGGCCCGTCGAAAGGGCGGGCCGGGCATTTCGCTTGAGGCCTCCTCACCCTCTCTGACCTGAAGCTTCAACATCCACAACGGTTTCACAGATGGAGGGCTGGTGGTTCTCAGCATTTATGTGGCTCTCGCTTTAGCTGATGGGCCTGTTGTCCACCACCACCACCAAAGTTCGAGGGGGGAAGGAGGTAGAGGATGAGGAGGAGGAAGAGGAGGAGGAGGAGGAGGAGGAGGAGGGGGAGAAGGAGGAGGAAGAGGACCCCCCCTCCTACTCATGGTGGTGGTGGTGGAGAGCGAGCCGACCATCAGCGCAGCGCGCATTCGCTTGAGAGGTTGGTAAGAGCTTCGCGGATTGAGGGCACGCCGTTTTCACCATGCGGCCCTCGCCTTCGCGCCGTGCGCGCTCGTTTTGTCTACTTTGCGAGAGCTCCACGGGTTGAGGGCGGACCGTTTGTTCCAATCTGTGGCTCTCGCCTTGCCGCGCGCATTCGCCTTGCACATGTTCAAGAGTGCCGCACATCGAGAGCGGCTCCTTTTCAAGATGTGGCCCTCGCCCTAGCGCCATGCACACTCGTCTTCAACATTTTGAGAATTTCAAGGGTTCCCATGGTCAGCGTGCCAGAATTTGTGTTTTGGAAGGACTCAGGAGTTATGAGGACGAAACAGTTACGCTGATTCGCGGTGTTGAAGTCCCAGGAAGGGTGTTCTGGCACGATTCCGGATCGTCAAGACGCAACAGTCATGTTGATTCGTGGCGTTGGAGTCCGGATAATGGTGTTTTGGCACACTTCAGGGTCTTCGAACGGTTGTCTCCCAACGGGGCAGCTCTCTCAGTTGAAATGAACCTAGTATGGGGCCTATGAAGAGGGAGCTTGGAGGAGGAGTTTATTCCAACGTCGTTGGTGAGTCTTGAGTTTACCTTGGTCTTCCTTCTCTTACTCCTCCTCCTCCTTCTCCTTCTCCTTCTCCTTCTCCTCCTTCTCCTCCTCCTCCTCCTCCTCCTCCCCCTCCTCCTCCCCCTCGTCCGCTGCGCGTTCTGGTGTTGAGACGTCAGGGTCCAAGGACCCGAGAAGACCTCAGGTTTCGTTGGCGGCCGCGAGCCTCTGTCTTTCTGATTGCTTCCGGGCTTTCGGTCTCAACGAAGATGAAGACCGTGAGCTTGGAGAAGCTTTTCGGGAGAAGATCGATCCTGCTGAGGAAGATGACGATCTTTTTTCCTAGGGAGGTCCTGTTGCTGGCACGCGGGTGGCCTGTCAAAGCCACCAGCGGTGACAAAACGGTCCTTTGTGAGGGACCCCCCTAGGTTTTTGGTCGACTCTCTCCCCTCTTTCACCCCGGTGGCCTGAAATCCTCCCTCTTCTCCTCCCCCTTGTCCTCGTCCTCCTCCTCCTCCTCCTCATCCTCCTCCTCCTCCTCCTCCTCCTCCTCCTCCTCTCCTCCTCCTCCTCCTCCTCTGGTCATCCTGGCCTCCTCCTCTTCCTCCCTCCTCCTCCTCCTCCTCCTCCTCCTCCTCCTCCTCCTCCTCCTATCGGTCATCCTGGCCTCCTCGGCCGGCCCCAGCCGCGCCGCGCGCCCGGGCGCCCCTCCGCAGCTGCGCGCCGAAGACGGACGAGGAGGTGTGGGCCATCCTGCGCGCGAAGGCACCAGAGACCCGAGGGATGTGAAACGTCGGGAGCCTTGAGACGGGGGTCAATGCAAACGGGGATCAGCCAGTGCGCCCGATCTTGCAGGATCCTGCAGGGACAGGGTCGCATTGGCCCGGGCTTGGGTGCAGGATCCTGCATGATCTTGCAGGATCCTTCGCATCGACCCGGGTAGGGGTGCAGGGTCTTGCAGGATTCTGCAAGGCTTGACTGGCCCAGGTCTGGATTGACCCGGTTCAGAAGATCCCCGAAAACGACTTCATCCTTTTTTCAGGCGCGTTCTGTCCATTCAGTCCTTCCTTTCGGGTGTTCTCTCCTTCTCCTCCTCCTCCTCCTCCTCCTCCTCCTCCTTCCCTCTGCCGTTGCGCTGCTGCCGGTCGCTGCCGCTTGGGGCCCTCTTGAGCCACTCGTCGCGCCGCCCCGCGGAAAGAGCGCGTTAGCCCGGCCCTCCCTGCGAGCCCTGCCGGGCACCGCGCCTCCCCGGAGCTCTCGCGCCTGGATGGCTTTCGCGCGAGGCGTCCTCAGGGGGAGGGGGGCACTGGGCGGGAGACAGACCCAGAGATCAAACGCACTGAAACAATCAAGACGGAGGTTTTCGCAGTTTTCGGACTCTAGGGGCCCTCGCCGGGCCTCGGGACCGTCAAAAAACGATTCAGGATGAAAAACTGGTCCTGGGGAAAGGATCGAGACTTCTGGGGACCCCGTATTGAAAAAATCACGACGTCGGATCTCTGGGGAGGGACTTGGCATCCCTCGGACGTGTGCATTTTTCGGGCCGATCGAAAGGGGGGGGATAGGGGAAGCGCTGGTTACGAAGTCTGCTGCATGCAGCTGGTTTCGGCCCCGCCGCCGGGCCCATTGCTGGATACATGGGCGCCTCCCGACGCCGGGAGGCGCTGGGAAAATCAGCTACGTGAGCTGGTTCTCTTACCTACTCTCTGCAATTCCCCCCCTTTCGTTCCCCCCGAACTCTGTCTTCGGCGAGGAGGACCATCGGGGAGCATCCTGGATCACGTCGCCCCAAAACAAAAAGTCACGATGCCGAGAAAAAGCTACAGGGAGGGGGCGCCTGAGCGATGGCGAGGGGAGGAAGGCGAGGGGAGGAGGGTCGTCATTGTAAGTCGGGCGTCCCTACACAGGAGGGATGTACAAAAACAGTAAAACATAGTCTGGGGACGATATTCTCTGCTATTTTCTTTCCATTGTTGGATCTTTGTTTGATTATGTTTTGTTCTTCGTCCATCATCCGCCTGTAGGGAGACGTGCCCGACCGAACCCCAGCCCAGAAAGGCCCCAGAAGCTCCCATGTCTAAAAGACTCCCCAAGATGCCTAAGGATTTCTGATCGCGCTCCTCGTCCCCGTTCGTTTCCTGTGCGGCTGATTGGTTGTAGCTGTCCCCACGCAATCCCCCCCAAGAATGCTTCGACTGGCGCGAGTTCGATTCAATGTGTTATTTCCATTCACTGCTCCCCAGATCTGCACTGATTTAGTTAATGTGCCGTCTGGTCTGAAGGTCATAAATTGCCTTGGGAACAGGTGTTGTCTCGAGGTCCTCGGGCAGGAGGTTTGGGAGAGAACATCTTGGTCCCCCGATGCATGACACAAGTCCCCAACGAAGGGGAGCTCTCGTGATGGACGCGTGCTGTTTGTGCAAGCGCAGTGTAAGCGCTGAGCATGTCGATCAAAAATAGCTGCTGCTGTTGTTATTGATGCTGCACGTCCGCCTCTTCGTCGTCGTCCTCCTCTTTCTCTGTCTCTTTGGCCCGCTGTGGCATCATAGAAGCCCCTTCCCTTAAGTCTGGCCTGTCCCTCTACAGAAGGAAGATTCAAAAATATTCAAAACATCGTCAGGGAACGATGCTTCGAGTATGTTTGAGCATGTGTTGTGTTTGTAGGCTATTTCTAATTGTTCGTTTAAAATTCGCCTTTCTGGGGGACACGCCCGACCTGAGCCTTCCCCTCAGATGGGATTTCAGGCAAGACCGCTGGGACCGTCGGGAGGCCCCCGTAGGCCTCTTGGCCTTTCGCTTTCTCTTCCTGACCCTTTCCTCTCCGACCCCCTCAGTGGGCAAGTGGGCAGTTCAACTCCTCGTCCTCCTCGTCGTCCTCCTCCTCCTCCTCCTCCTCCTCGTCGTCCTCCTCCTCCTCCTCCTCCTCCTCGTTCACCTCCTCCTCCTCCGCCGCCGTCTCCGCCTGCTCCTCCTCCTCCTTCTCCTCCTCCTCCTCCTCCTCCTCCTCCTCCTCCTCCTCCTCGTGGTGTTGGCCTGCCACTGGTGTGCAGCACGCTCCTCCTCCGATGGGCTGCGCCCCGCCCGATCTGCGCACCTGCTCACCTCTGGCCTTTCTCTTCTGCAGCCAGGTGCCGCTCCCGCCCCGCAGCTCCGCCGCTCCTCCCCGTCGACTCCCGAACTCAGCCTGGAGCGCGTGCTGACCAGTATTTCTGGGCTAATCAGGCCGCAACGACGAGGAAACCCTGGAGGAGACCCCAACAAGTAGCAACGCAGTCAAAACTGAGATCATGTTTTTGGTGGTGGGAGTCTCTCCGCCGTGGACGCCGCCGTGGTCTCCCGAGGCTGTGGCCGCCGCCGCGGCCGCCGCCGCCTGCCGCTGCCGCCTGCGGCGGAGCCGCCCCGGCCGCCTGCGCGAGGCCCCAGCCTGGGCGAGGCGCTGCACGCTGGGCGCGCGCCTGGGCACGGGCAGCATCGGGCAGGTGCACGCGCTGCTGCCGCGGGAGGGCGCCGCGGGCACCACGGGCGGCGGCGAGGCGCGCTGGCGTCGTCGTCATCGTCTTCGTCGTCGTCGTCGTCGTCGTCGTCGTCGTCGTCGTCGTCGGCGCCGTCGTTGTCATCGTCGTCGTCGTCGAGCCTCGTCGACGTCGTCGTCGGCGTCGCCGCCGCCGCCGACGGCGTCATCGCTGACGGCGTCGGCGTCGTCGTCGCCTGCGCTATCGCCATCGCCGTCGCCGACGGCGGCGTCGTCCTGGCGTCGTGAAAATCAGACGACCAGCGTTCTCGCCTGGCCCGTTTCGCCCCCCGCCCCCCCCCTCTCCCAGGGCCCTCTCGGATCGATCGGGCTTGCAACATGCCGTTCGCGAGTGGGGTGGGGAGCTCTTGACGTCTTTCATGCTTTTTCCACGACCCCAGACCCCAGGAAGGATCAAGGATCAGCGATTCTCAGGATTGCCTGTCGGGCGGCGCGTAATGATCTGCCTTATCTGCGTGCGGAAAAACAAGAGCGAAATCACAGATTTTGCGCGTTCTGAATGCCTTTTGGGGCCTCTGGGGCCTCTGGAGGCCGGCGGCGTCATTCTTCGTCGTAGCCGTCGGAAGAGATCGAGAGTCGAAGGTCGAGAGTCGTGTTTTTTGGCGCTGGAGTTTTGGGGGCTTCCAGAGGCAGTCGAAGATCGAGCGTCGAGGGTCGGAAGTCGAGGTGTTCAGGGCGTCTGGCCACCGCCAAAGCCGTCGCTGCCGTCGTCGTCGTCTTGATCGTCGTGTTTATAGTGGTAGGTCGTCTTCGTCGTCGTTGTCTTTGCCGTCGACGTCGTTCTTCTCGTCCTCGTCCTCGTCCTCGTTGTCATCGACTAGGCTCGATGCTTGAGGATCAAGGTTTTTACACGTTTTGGAAGTCTTAAGCCTCCAGAGGCCTCCGAGGGATTTCTGGATGTTCGCCTTTGCTGTATTCGAGTCGTGCTTTGCCTCGTAGGATTGTGCAGAGCACGGCATTGCAATGTATGGCATTCCACTGGGATGCACATGTATGCGTTGAGGCCGCGCTGGCATTCGGCCGATGTTCCGGAATGAAGCCATGACTAAATATCGTTCCAACACTATTTGTTTTGTGTTCAGGAGCCCGTGGTTGTTGCCTGGGTTTCGCGGCTGGCTACTTGACACCACGGTTGATTTGCTCCTCGTGGGAATTCAAAATTCGCATGTCCACTGTCAGGATGTCGCATGGCAGCATAGCATAGCATTTCGTAGCTTCTGGGCGCATAGAAAACAGAGCGCATGCATAAACACCCCACGTCCGCTCCACCCCAGGCATCGCAATCCATGTCATATATCTACATATATATATATATATACATATATAGATGTATATAGCTCTGGCTCGAGTTTCTCGGATTTCGCCAGAGCGTGGACAATATGCCCACTGTCCTGAAAGTCGGGCTTCTATGTCACACACTGACAGTCTACATGCGTCTCATTTCATGGAATCCGATGTCCTTGCAAGATTACGACAAACGCCTGGAGATTTCTAAGGAGCTCGAACACATAGATGCCGTCCTCCTCTCGGGAACGCAGACCAAGACCATGTCCTCCTACGAGGCGCACTCGACAGCGGAATTTCTCATGCTGAAGTTTGGATGGCATCGCAGTAATAAAAACACGACAGGCAACCAATCATGCGGCACTGAGATTTGGCTGAGCAGACGATGGTTTCGGAAGACACACATAGTCAAGATCTGGCAGCCTCCACCCGCGCTCCGCGGCCGTGTAGGCGCTACGCGCGTGAAGAGCGCACTGTTCGACTTCACCTTCATCACAGCATACTTCCCTCCGAGATCGCAGCGCATCGCCACTGCCTCCAAGAACGAAGTCATCATCGACAAAATGCTCAGCTATCTGCACGACATCGTCTCGAATTTGCCGAACCGCACTTGCGTGTTCATCGGCACCGACCTGAACGACAGCCTCGCGCGCACACACTCGACAGAGGACGACGACGCCACCATAGGTGTCCATGCATACGGTCAGCAGCACTACGCGGGCGAAGCTTTCCATACGTTTTTGAAGGACTACGCCCTGTGCGCGTCGAACACGCACTACCCGTGCGGCCCTACTTATCACGGCCTACGAGGGCACTCGAGCTACATCGATTACCTGGTGATGCCGATACGCTATCTACCACGAGTACGTCGCCATAACATCGCTTACCGCCTGACCAAACGACTCCGAGCATTTCCGTCTCAACGACTAGTGGATCACATGATGCTGTACACCGACGTGGACTGCACCCTAACATACGACAAACCCCAGACAACGCCGCAGTGGGACTACACACGCATATTCTTGGCCTGGAAAGATGAACGATTCTCCGAATGGGCGAAGCAGCAACGCGACGACATTGAGTCTGACCTGTCTAACTACCTCAATGAGAACGGCTACCGTGACATGGCAGACTGGGCTGAAAGACACACGATGGAATCGGGATGGCAATTATTGATATCTAAGATACGCACACGAGCTCTGTAGTATTTTGAAGCAAAGAAGTCCACGATCGAGCTAGAGTACCAGCAGCTAGCAGAGCAACGACGTCAAGCACTACATGCACGCACACAGGCTCGGCAGAATTTAACCGACGACCTAGAGGACACGCTTGCTCTTCACCGCTGCAGCGCTGCCTGCAAAAAACTTCGACGCCGACTTCGTGACCTCCGAGATGTACAGCACTTTCGCGAACTACAACAAGCTGATGAGGCAGGACTTGAAGCAGAGGCCTGGCGAGCTTGTCGACGCCTTGCAGGCAATGGGAAGGGCCTTGGCAAACGTTGCTACTTCGATCTCCCCGACGCTCGCCCCTCTGTTCAAACATGGACCGAAGATATGGCACTTCCTGGCGCGGAAGGAGGAATGGAGGCGGCACCGATTGATATCTAGCACTTCATCGACACCGCTGCGGCAAACGACGAGCGTTTCTGCCCTTCTGCACATCAGTGGAGACACGCCCAGTACGACTTCGATGCGATCAAACGCCAACTACGGATGCATTGCAAACGCCGACGAGCTGCTCCCGAATGGTCGCTACCTGCAGAGATCTGGTCTCTTTTGCTCGTCGGTAGAAGTGATGGCCGCAAAAAAGACGGCAGCCGAGAGCACGACCACGCGATGATCTTCCCTGGCCCCCTCCTCGGCGATGCGATTATTACCCAACTTGCTGCGGTTCGTCAACACCGACGGCTCAATGCTTGGTGGAACTTCTCTCAGACTTATCAAGTAAGCAAGATGAACAATAAACCACGTACTCGAGGCACCCGGTTACTACATGGATTATGCACGTTCGGAAAGACATGGGTTGCTTCGAGACAGTCTCTCACATCCACACCATTGCATTACGCTGAGCACGGCTACGCGCGTGCCCGATCACGCTCAGCAGCGATTACAGTCGGATTAGCACTGCAGTGGCGCCTCACCAAGCAGCAACGAAGCCACATCACCACGAAGCACGACATGACGGACGCTTTCGCCTCAGTGAATCACTCCCACCTCGACGACGCCGTGGACAAGATATACCTCCCTGGCGACTGTGCGATCATGAAGGGCAGGCATCGTCGAGCAGCATGCGTGGTTAGCGACGGGATTGACACTCAGGGATACCAGAACACCGTAGGTTGCTCCATGGGAGATGCCGATGCTGCGATCAAGTTTCGCGTGGCCTTCATGCAGCCCACCATTGAATGGAATGGTGCACTTACTACCGATACCAGCACATTGATGATTGCGGGGTGCGAGTTTACTGGCACCAACGTCGACCTCAGCGTTCGCAAGTACGCCGGCGACCTCACCAAGACCCACATGTGTCACGATGCGCAGATGGCGGCCTACAAAGTTCAACAATCCGACCAGATCCTGAACGACAAGCTGCGCACCATCGGACTTTAGCAGAATGCGTGGAAAAAATGCTCTTCTACCGACGTTCGTCGGCACTGGCGCTCACAGATACGCACGCGCCCTGCATTATCGCAAGATACCGGTTGACGGTGAAGTTCATTCCTCGACCATGTTCTTAGGCTCCATCACGCAGGCTAACGGTCACAACCACGCCGAGGTTAAGGAACGGTGTATCGCTACGGCTCGCGGATGGCGCAGTATGGGCCGTTTTTGGAAGAATTGCCGATATCTGAGACGTCGCAAAATGGTTTTCAGAAGTCAGGTACTATCGGCCGCTACCTCTGGACTCGAAGCACGTGTATTGACAAAAACACAACTCGATCAGATAGACGCCTGTGTAGCTCGTTACGCTCGTGCCCTACTTCAAGGTGCCGCATATATCAAGCAGTCCGCCGACGACGACGCCACCTTTGGCACCACCGAGGTTGTTCGCAATATCTCATCTTATGCAGTCTGGAAAAAATTGAAGATGGTACCGCCTTCCCTGGACATACAGATCGCGCGCATCAAGCGATGGCAACGCGTTGCACGCGAACCTGACCATCACTCTCAACTACTAGCCTGTGTTTTTGGCAAACTGCTCTGCGAGTCCACGACGACGTTGGACTTCCCCTGGGCCCCTGTGCACACAGCCTCTACATACAACGCTCGTGGCTCCCCAGATGGTGACGGCCCCACACATGCGACCAATCCTTGGCGCAAGCAGTTCTTTGATGACGTGAAGTTGCTGAATGTATTTGCAGACGGACGAGCATGCCTAGACGTCATTGGCGACGATCTGCTCGACATTTTCGACCGACACCTGGTCGAGACGTGTTTATCAAGCTAACGATTGCACGTGTACGAAAGTGGTGGATTGCACAGCCCGTCCCACCACCCCGCAGTGCTCCAGATGCAACAGTCGCCTGGAGTAGCCCCCATACGTGTGGCCTTCTATGTGCGGCTGGAGCGTTATGCCTGTTCACGGCCGAAACAAAACAAGCGCTCCGAGTGCACCAAACGATGAGTGGGGAGGGAGGCGAGCACGGACGAATATGCGAGCATACGAGATTCACGATTACGAACCAATGCCCTAACTGCCGATCGACCTTCGCGAGCCGACAGACTGCGATCAATCATCTTGCTGCTGCTTATCGTTCTGGGAGATGCCAAAAACACCGCTCTGTTTACAACTTCGAGGTGAACGATCCTCCGCAGCTGCTTTGCCCAAGTGACGTATGCGAGCTCACCTTCGCTACCCTCGGCGAGTTGCAAGCTCACACTGCGACAGAACACCTTCCCGAACCTCGCCCTCATGTCGTGGGCGAGCTCACTGCCCAACGCTGGAGAGCACGCAGGCGCAGCCGCGGCAGATGCGACACAGCCTGCTCACAAGTCCCGACGCCGCCAGCCCGCCGGCCGTGGCAACCAGCAGAGTGGGTCGAAGTCCAAGATGGTGGACCTGCAGTCGCTCGACCTGGAGGAGATGGAACTGAAAGATATTCAGCGCATGTTCCCCATTGTCATGAAGCTACTACTCAACGTTGCGATGAGGCAGCGCCAGACCGACGCCATACTGATCAAGACCTACCTCGTCTCACCTGGCACGAAAATCGTCGTGGCGATCCGAGCTCGCGTTCGCGCATGGGTAAAAAGAGCCGAAGAGATACGAAGTATGACGACGGCACCACAGCGATGCGGAGATGGCGAAGATCGGCGCGATCAGTACCGCAGCCTTCGCAGGTCTGCTCGAAGGTCTCCATCAGGAAGGCGCGTCCGTCGGCGGCCTCAACCAGCAGAACCTGACAGCGTTGGGCGAGAAGCTGAAGACCATTGACATCAAGCAGATCGTCGAGCTCGTCCCGCTCGTGAAGGCCAGCGACACGCACGACGCCGCGCAGTGCAAGCTTCAGATCAGGCTCAACCCCAAGAGCGACGTCGACCTCAGCGTGATTCACGAATCACTCATCCAGACGGGAGCGATCTACAAGCCAGGTCAGGGTCCGATGGTGCGCATGGAGAGGATCCTTCACACGAAGCTGACGCAGTTAGAGGACGTGACCATGGGATATACTTCTACGCATTCCACTGGGCAAGACATAGTTGTGCGCAATGGGACACTTGTATTCCGAAGAATACTGTGACGACAGGCAAGGGGGGCCTCTCGCCTGCTTCTGGGTACGCGCCAACTACTACGCCAACTGTTCAGGGCATGGAGAGCCCACCACACGCATCTACGAACGCGCCTCCTTTGACGCCAGCAGTTCAGGGCATGGGGTGCCCACCGTCTGCATCACAGAGTGCGCCTACACCATCAGTTGTTCAGGGCCTGGAGAGCCCACCCATTGCTTCACAGAGTGCGCCTACTACAGTTGTTCAGGGTATGGAGAGCCCACCTCCTGTACCCCAGAGTACGCCGACTTCTACGCAAGCAGTTCAGGGCATGGGAGGCCCACCTCAAACATCGCAGAGTGCACCCACCTCTACTGCAGTCGTCCAGGGCACGGACTGCCCACCTAGTGCATCCACGGGTGCGCCCTCAGCAGTGGTGCAGGGCATGGGAAGCCCACATCGATCACCTACGAGAGCTACCCCTTCGCGTACCCGTACTGAGATGTGGACAGCTTCGCTGTTAGCACACGCTCGCGCCCTCGCCCAGGCTGGAAAGCAGAGCCGCTCTGAGGACCCAGAGCCTAGCCTGCCCAGCGCCCCTGAACCCCCTCCTCCGTCCTCCGAGCCTCCTCTTCCTCCTCCTCCTCCTCCTAAGAGGCCCCGAAGGCCTGCCGTCCCACCGCCAGCTCGCACCACTTCTACTCACAATTCCCGTGGCTCGTCTTTTCCTCCCACTGGTGCCAGACAAAGCACAGGTGGTGATTCAAGGACGATGGATGCCATCATGAGACTTGTAGGAACGAGCAGGCGCTAAGACCTGCGTTTCGTTTCCTGTCAGTGTGTGACCGTGTGGTTTATTTTCGGGTGTAACCCGATCCTAGAGGCACTCAGCGTCTGAGACATCCGTACTGCTGCCTCCGAGGGGTCCGATCCGATATAGATGTATGTGTATGTATATATATATATATGTATATGTATTCTTATGTGTATAGCGCTAGATGTTGCAACACTTTCTCATATTGTTTTGGCCCCAGGCTCGCCCGTGACTCATTTATTCGCTTCAGGCTCCAACGCACCAACCAGTACTGCACACCAGCCAGCGTTGACTCCAAGCAGATAGGAGAACAGGAGGAGGACGAGAGGAGGATGGGAGGAGGACGAAAGGAGGACGGGGGCGGGACGGGAGGAGGACGGGAAGAGCAAAATCAAGCAATCGTAAGCAAGGAAGCGGAAGCAAGCAAGCGCAAGCGAGCAACAACAAGCAAGCAAGAACCAGCGATCAAGTGTAAGCAAGCAAGGGCAAGCAAGAGCAAGCAAGCGAGAGCAAGCACGCAAGAGCAAGCAAGCAAGTGCAAGTGAGTGTGCAAGAGCAAGCACGCAAGAGCAAACAAGCAATCAAGTGCAAGCAAGCGAGCAAGAGCAAGCAAGCATTGGGATCCATGCGACTCATCGGAATCCACATAGCCATAGGAATTCGGAAGGGGGGATCTGAATTAGGGGCTGCAACGGACCTATTAGTAGGGTTTGAATTAGAACTCCTATAGGGCAAGCCTGTTTGGATAATGCCACCCTTCCCGAGAAAGCGACGAAGAAATAACGGGTTCAACTGCACCGACATTCGTGCGTAAGGTGTTCGCGTAAGGTCGCGTGTAAGCGTTTTCGTCTACAATGTGGCGTGCCCCGCCGGCGGCCCGCGTAAGCCACCGCGTGAGGTCGCTACGCGATCGTGCGTAATAGCCCCTTTCCCTTCGTCGCTCCAGTGTGATTTGCTGCACGAGATTTTGCGACACGCACTCCGTCCTCAACGCGCCGCGCCGCCTGCCCGCTTGAAGAGGTCCTGTCCGCGCGGCCCGTCCTTTCGGGTCCGCCCGCCCGACCCGTCCGTTACAGGCACTGCCCTCCCCGCCCTTTCGACCCGTCGGCTGTAACGTCCTGCCCGCCCGACGTGCCCGTTAGTCGCCGAGCGCGTTCCGCTTTTCGCAAAGCACCTGCTCGCAACCGTCCGACAAAACGTGTCTGTCTCGACGCAATGGATCGTGAGCCCCCCGCGGCGGCTCGGGGCCATTTGCGAGCAGTCACTGGGCGAGCAGTGGACAGCGCTTGTCTAGTCGGGGCCAGCCCTCGCGGCCCGCTTCCCATCGCCCCCTCGTTTCGGCACGGTCACCCGTGCGCGCGCACGATCGCTGAGGGCGGGCGTGCACGTGTGGCTCTGCTCTCTCGGCTTATCCAGCGCGCTCCTGCTTCTCCCCTCCGCCTCCTTCTCGACTCCCAGATGGAGGAGACCTCGTCCTCCTCCTCCTCCTCCTCCTCCTCCTCCTCCTCCTCGGTTCCCCCCTTCTCTGCGGATGCTTCCAGAGGTTTCTGAATTCCCCTGGCGGTCCCGCGAGAGGTCCCCCAGACCCTCGGACAACTCCTCCTCGGCACTCCCTCGCCGCGGCCGCGCAAGACATGAACAGATACACATTTGTGTGTGAGGACCTCCCTCGGCCTGATGATCCTCGGGACGTTTGTCAGCCCACTGTGCGTTTACCCCGCTCATCTCTAAACTCTAGGCGATGCTTAAGAAAACCCAAGTTTTCGGCCAGAGTCTCGATTTTTCTTAATGCTTCAATGTAAACCCTAAGATTTTGATAGAAGTTCTGGGTTTTATTCAAGTTCTGAGACTATGAATTTCTTAACCCATGATTTCTCAAGCATTTCGCAGGGTGTACCGGTAGATCACTGCGTCGCCTGCGTCGTATTGAAGGGCCTCGGTCCACAAGCACGCGCCTGCGCCGACACGCGTTCTGAGGATCATCGATCGGCGCGGCCGCGAGGCCGTGGCCAAGATCTCCTTCCACGAAGAGCGCCGCGCGCAGCGCAGTGCCCGCAGATCGGATCGCCCCGCACCTGTCCAGCGATCGCCAGCACCCGCGGAGAGCCACGGCAGGCGGTTCTCATACCTTCCCAGACCTGGGGGGCGCTGGCCGGGTGCCCCGCGGCCGTCGGGATGAGGGGCCACCGCCCAGGGAGGGGGCCGAGACCCCGGGGGTCCGCGCGGCGAGAGGAGCACGACGTGGGAGGTCTGGGTCCTCCCAGACCTCCTGGCGACTTGAGAGGATCACGCCACGGGATGCCCCTGGCCGCCTTCCTCTGGCGATCGCGGCCATCCCTGGTCGCGCCGCTGATCACGCGCTTGTGATCCGTGCCCACCTCGTGACCTCCTGAGCGAGCGCAGACAGCGTCGCAGGTGTTCGATGATTGTCTGCGTCTGGCGACTCGTTCCGGGATCCTGGACAAGAAAAGCAGCCTCCGCACGAAAGGTGGGGTCGAGGGTTGATATCTCCCTGGGCCAGGGACTTGAACAATCGAGTCATCAGAGGTTTGAGTCTCCAAAGGCTTCTGCAGACGCGCACGCCCCCAGAGGCCTCCCGAGGCCCAGAATGTCAAACAGCGTCCACAACCTTTGAGATTCTACCCTCCTACCCGTTCCCTTCGTCGTCCTGTCCAGTCACGGTTCATCTGCGTAGCGGATAGTCGCTCAGTTGATGGCCAAGTGGACCACGAAGGGCATTGATTCACTCCTCCCCCAGATCGCTTGGTCCAACTTTAGCGCAGCAAATGCCCACCCTCGTCTCAATGCCCCAACCCCCCGCAGCGCTTGTGAGCGCGATCGAGCATTACTGCCTGGAAGGGAAGCTCCTTGAATTTTGAGATGCGCGTCGCGTCGCGAAGGCGTGTGCGAACCGCGTGCGAGGGACGGGCGACGGTCGCGGCCATCGTGATGGCAATCGCGGTGTCCGCCGTTATGACGAGTATGGAAATTTGAAACGCGGTTGGCGTTCATGATGATGTTCGTCATCGTCTTTGCCATGATGGCCGTCATGTTGCTGCAGGCCACTGCTATGTTACAGTTGTGACCCGCGTGCACAGTTGTGACCAGGATGAGCCTCGTGGTGATGGCCGTAAGGGTTGTTCGAACAAGAGCGGTGAGCACCATGGCGCAGTCACGGCGATGTTGATCGCGTTGAATGATGGTTGAGATGATGATGCATGCCTTCCCCCCAGACAGTTCGCCCACTTGCCCCGAACCAGCCTCATGCCAAGGGACGAACAGGTGTACGGCGCAGCATCACGTTGCATCTGTGGCCTTCGGTTGGGCCAAATCGGCTAACCAGCGGCGTCTGGGTGTCTGCGCTGAACGCAACATTGACTCGAGACCTCTGGACTCAAGCGCACGCGGCCGCTGGCCGTCACCTCACTGTTCCAGCACCTGGATCAGCTCACAGTCACGTAGGGCCAAGAGCTTCGTGGAAGCAAACTATCCTCTCCTCCGCGGCCTAACAGACGGCCAGGACAATCTCGCTCCCTGGCCTAAGCTGCCAGTCTAATGTCCTCACCCCTGGCCTACTGCCTAGAGCTGGCAGCAACATATCCTCCCCCGCCCCTCCCACAGCCTATGACGGCCATCAGCATATCCTCGCGCCCCTGGCCTAACACTGCTAGGAGCACGTCCTCACCCCCTTGCTAGACGACGCCAGCAAAGTATAATCCCCCAGGCCTAATGCTTCAACCTGAAACCACCCTGTCAATCTCCCCCTGGTCCAAAACGACTCCCTCATCTCCTTTACACCCTTGGCATACAATTGTCACCAACATTCTTTTACCATCCGCGGAGCGCCCTGTGGCAGAGAGAGAGAGAGAGAAAGGGGAGGAGCTGGAGGAGGAGGAGGAGGCGGAGGAGGAGGAAGAGGGCGAGGAGGAGGAGGAGGAGGACCAGTGCAAACCCAAGACTCCCTCCAAGCTCTCTCTTCATAGGCCCCTGCAGGGGGTCATTTTTACTTTGGGAATTGCCCCTTTGGGAGACATCCGTTAAAGATCCTGAAGCGTGCCCCAAAAAAATCAGTATCAGTTTTTCAACGCCACGAGTCAACAGGATTGTTGCGTCTTGATGATCCGGAACTTTGCCAGAATGCCATTCCTGAGATTTCAATACCGCGAATCCGCGTAATTGTTGCGCCATGACAACCTTGAGTCGTTGCGAAGAGCCCGTGCAAGTCTTGCACGGCGCGGCGCCGCGCCATTGCGAGAGCCACCTTTTAAAAAGGAGTGGCCCTCAATCCGTGAAGGGTGTGCTAATGTTTAAGACGAGCGTTCGCGGCTTTACGGCGAGGACCGCATTTTGCAAACCACCCGCCCTCAATCCGCGGAGCTCTCGCACATACTTAAAGCGAATGCGCGCGGGCGAGAATGACATTCTGAAAAGGAACCGCCCTCAATCCGTGAAGCTTGTGCTAATGTTTAAGACGAGTGTGCGCGGCGCGAAGGCGAGGACCACACGTTGAAAACCACCCACCCTCCGTCCTTGAAGCCTTTGCCAATTTTGCAAACGAATGTGCGCGGCGTTAAAGCGATAACCACATTTTGAAAACCTTCCGCCCTCCATCCGTGAAGTTGTTGCCAATGCTTAAGTTCAGGATCATATGTGGTAAGGAGGTGTCAGGCGGAACGTCCCGCCCGCCCCTTCGACCAGCCTCGGGGCGAGACATGGAGGGATGATCTATAAGGAAAACGGATGGAGGCGAAGGAGGCGAAGGAGGAGGAGGAGGAGGAGGAGGAGGAGGAGGAGGAGGAGGAGGAGGAGGAGGAGGAGGAGGAGGAGGGAGGAGGAGGAGGAGGAGGAGGAGGAGGAGGAGGAGGAGGAGGAGGAGGAGGAGGAGAGGAGCATGCAACGAATTGGTCTGGCGCGCCCAGGCGTGGAGCCAGTCGCAGCCGCAGCGCCTCGCGCCACGCGGCATCCGCGCCGCACGCCCAGGCCGGCGGCGCCGGCAGCCAGGCGGCGGCGCGCGGTGGCAGCGCCGGGGCCCAAACGTTGCACGGCCTATTCGCCAGCCGCTGCCATGTCGGCGCCCGGCAGTCGCAGCGGAGGCAGGCCACCCAGGCGGGCCCTGGGGTCGCTGCGTGGGCCCGCTGCGCGCTGCCGGCGAGGAGGGCGTTGGCGGCGGGGGCCCCCGCCGCCGTCGCGGTGCGCCGCGCGGGCTGCGGAGCCTGGGCGCGGGCGGCCGCGGCGGCCGCGGCGGCCGCGTCGTCGCCTTCGCGGGGCGCGCCGCCATCGCTGGCGCACGCGGGGCTGGCGTGCGCCGTCGCCATGGTTGGCCCTTCAGCACGGCCAGCTCCACGGCTGCCATGACCCGCTGCACTGCGGCGAGCGCGTCCAGCCCACGCGCGCGCGCGCTCCAGCAGCAGCGCTCGAGGCGGCAAGCGGGCCTTGGCCGCATGACCACCGAGGCGGTCCGCGGCCGCGTTGCCGGCGTGGTTTTTCCGGGGCAGCCCCCGGTCTCGGGCTGCCGCAGCGTCCAATTTAAGTGCGCCTTGACCTACCGCGCGCGCAAGGCGCCGCTGCGGCAGTGTGGGGCAACGCATTCCCGTAGGTCCGCGTGCGCCCACTCCCCGGGGTTGGCCCCGTCGCGGATGGCCGCCACGCCGCGGCTGATGAAACGAGACTCGGTGACGTCGTCGACAGGCCCCGCCGCCAGACTAAGTGCGCGCACCGCCACGAAGAGCTCCGCTCGCTGAGCAGTCTGCGCGCCGTCCACTGGTCCGCCGTGCTCGACGAGAGCCGTCGCGCCCGCCGCCCCCAGCTAGACTCCCCAGCCCGCTCTCGCAAGCAGCGGGTCGCTGGGGCGCACGCAGGCCCTTTCTGTCCAGGCACGCGCCCTGCTACTGGCCGGCAGGCCCTGCGGGTCAGGTAGAGCTGGCAGCGACAGCGGCAGCCGGGCCTTCCTCGCAAGCGCCGCCAGCCGCGGGTCCTGGGGCAGCAGCCCCGTGAGGGAGGTCTCGGGCGGCAGCCTCGCGCGCACCGCATCGCGGTGCCTGCTCGCGGGGCACCAGGGCGGCGGCCCGGGTGGCTCCCAGCGCGGGCACTGCCACGGGCGGTGCTCCAGGTCCTTCAGCGCCGCGCTGCAGCGGGGGCGCAGGGCTTGCTGGCTCCACTTCGCGACTACCGCCACGACGTTCCTGGAAATGGCGGCGCGGAGCGCCCCGGCAGTATCGGGCGCCAGCGCGCCGCTGACCAGCAGCCGCCGCGTGGTTCATTTGTCAACGCCGCCCGCGACGTGTTGAAAAGCCACGCGCCTGTCCGCCAGCGAGGGCGCCTCGCGCATGGGCCGCGCTTCGAGCAGCACGTCGCCAGTTCTAGCAGGCTTCCGTCGGCGGGGCGCCAGCCTGCGGGGGCGGCGGTCCAGCATTGGACGTCCTCGCCCAGGCGCATCTCCGCCAGGCTCCAGAGGGCGGCGGAGATGGGCCCGAACCCGCGCCGCAGCTGCCAACAACACGCTGCCACACCCCTTGTATAAAGCTGCCCGATTCGTATAATAACCGCCTTGGCCTGCAACTGCTATCAACACATTCTTTCCATCTTGCTTGAAACTGCCAGCAACCGGCCCAAGGCTGAACACGACCAGCCAATAATCCTCGCCAGGACGGCGTACTGTTACAAGGAACCTTTCTAGTTTGAAGCGACGGCAAACATGTCCTGACCTCCCTGTCTTAACTTGGCCAGGGATCCTCACCGAGCTGGCCCAAGGCAGCCAGCAACATCTCCTCAGCAACTGTCCTAAACAGATACCACCATATTTTCACCTCTCTGGCCTGACGCTGCTTGGGGTATATCCTTACCCCCTTGCCTAAATCTGCCAACAACTAGTCTCACGTTTGAAAACGCCAGCAACATATCCTAACCTCCGAGCCCAACCCCGCCAGTCGGATGATCATCCTCCCCCGGTTTCAATTTGTCTCCGATCTATCCTTACCCTCTGGCCTGACTAACGCCAGCATCCTCATCGCTCTGGCCTTGCAATGCCAGCCAAGCATTATCACCCCTATAAAGTATATCAAACTATCCCGGCATCGTCCACGTCCCTGCACATCGTCAGGCCGACTTGCAGTTTCCGAAGGATCTGCGGTTGACCTGATGTGGTGGTGCTGGGGTGTGCTGTCGGCCAAGCTTGGGGGGGGGGGGGGGGCGAAAGTGGGGGCTTGGACTATCGACCCTCCGCCGTCCTAAACTCGGGAGGCTTTTGACTGGCTTCGGCCCCCGGGCCTCTGCCGCGTCCTGGGGCCGTTGAAGCACGACCGGGGACGTCAAAACAGCCCCGGGACGAGATCGGGGTCTCCGGGCCTCGCGTTCGTCACAGATCACGAGGCCCAGGATCGGCTGCCCCACCCCTGCCGAGGAGCGCGGGGTCTTGCCATCGGGGGCATGCCGCCGATCTGCCATCGCTGCGGCGCCGTGTCCAGGCTGGCGCCCCTCCCTTCTGGGCCAGTGCCCCCGCGATCGCCCCCGCTCGGTCGGAGGGGGGAACCTGCAGGGCTGGTGGTGGTGACGATGGGGGTGGTGACGGTGGTGGCGACGCCGGCGGTGGGGATCACTATGAGCATGATGTTGTTTGCGGTGTCGACCATATTGATGATCATGTCGCTTTCTGGTGGCAATCGGGGAAACGTGAGACTCGAGTACGCGGCACCTCGGGTGAGCCGAGGCTTTCTGACGCGCGCGTCCTGGGTTCTGACGGTCCAGTGCTCGTGGGATGTCTGCAGCGGGAGCCCGCGTCAAATCTCAGTCCGGGTCTCGTCGAGTCTTGCATCTCCCCGAGGCAGGGCGCTGCGCACGCGCCTCGCCCCTGCCGCACCGCTCGGGGTCGCAGCGTCCGCAGGGAGGGGGAGGAGATGGACGTTCTCCCAGGCACTGGAAGATGAGGGAGGACTTTGCGGCGATGGCGGCGCTGGGAATCAACACCGGGCCGGACGAGGTGTCCACGCTGCTGCGCAGCATATGGCCCGTGGGGGGCGCGGGAAGTGACCCAACGGAATTGGGCAGACGCAGCCATACTCAACAGTGGTCATGGTGGGTCGTCTCCCCGGCCCCAGAGGAGAGGTACTTGTGCCCTGACTATTGCTGCGCGAGTCGGCGTCCAAATCGCGTCATATTGCCTCAGGTGGGAACGAGGGGTTTCCGCTCGAACGACCCTGTCCCAGGTCACACAGGTGTTGGCTGGTTTGGGGCGAACAGGCGCCGCTGCGCTTGTGCGATCACTTTTCTCTTTCAGGGCCGTGCGCCCAGAGAGCCCTCGAGCCGCCATTGCGCAGCGTGTCAGCGCCCTTCTCCACATCCTTGGCATCGCTCGGACGTGTGCATTTATCCTTCGGCGAGGGCCATCGAGGAGCCTCCTTGATCATTTGGCGAAAAAACCACGGACGAAACCGAAAAAAGCACAGGGAATGGACGTCCGAGCGATGGCGAGCATCCGAGCCTCGCAGCACGGGGCGGGGCCCCGGAGCCCAGGACATCATTGCAAGCCGGGACGTTGCCAGAGCCAGCCGGACAGAGCGAGGCACGGGTGCTGCTCTGACCCCGTGGCTGCGCGTGCTCCCTGCTGCTGCGAGCCAGCCCCCTGTCTCGTCGGAGTCTCGGAGGGCGGGCCCTCAAGGGAGCCCAAGGCACGAGCACGTGCCCGTCGCCGTGGAGGCCGGCGGTGGCGGTGGTGCACACCACAGGGCTCGAGCCTAGACGGTGTTTTGGCAATTTCTTGGGCCGTGTTCGTTTTTTGACTTCGTTTTGCAGCAAGTGTGGAACGAAGACAGAACTAGGGATGACGGAAACAAGACGAAAACGGAAGACACTGTTGAACTCGAGCCCTGGCGCACGACGCCCCGGAGAGTGCGTCGCCATTCTGGTTCAGGTTTTTTTGGATCAGGCATTCTTTTAGAATCGTGTGGATTAGTGCCTCGATGGCCCAGGCCGCGTACACGTTCGAATTGTCTGAGTGAGTTTGCGCGTACTGCGCCCATCTGGCTCATGACGACGTGCACCTCACTTGGCGTTGTTTGCCGATCTCAGCAGTGCCATACTATTTTGAGTGGAGGCCTCCAGAGGTGAGCAGCGTCAAGGGAAAGTGCGCCTTGATCACCGGTGCGTCTGGGAGACTAGGGGGTGACTATCGCCTCACGGCTTGCATCAGAGTGTGTTTCCAAGTTGATCGTCACCTCGCGCTCGGTTGACAAAAACTCCAACGAGTCTCGGACAATCTCACAAACCATTTCCCGGACACCGAGAGAATCTCTGTCACCTCCGACGTCTCCAAGGGTGAAGACAACGCCGCTCTCGTGGAGGTGGCCTTGAAGACGCTTGGTTTTGTGTTTTGTGAAGATGACGAAGCACGAGATCGACCGCATACTGAATATTGATCTACTGGGGCTAATCCACCTGTCTCACGACTTCCTCCCAACGACGATCAATTCTGGAGGGCACATCGTCAACCTAGGCTCAATGGCCAGCCATGCGCCTTTTCCCCAGTTGACCGCGTACAATGCAAAGAAGCACGGCATGCTCGGTTTCTCCGCGGACCTCCAGTTGGAGATGCGGCTCATAGGCCACCCGGTCACCGTGCATGCGGTGTCGCCAGGACTCGCTTTGGAAGCTGGAATGGCTGTCAAACAGGCTGCCGCCGCGGGAACTTCGCTGGATTTTCTCACGTCGGTTGCGGGCCACTCCTGCCCCGCCGACACTGCCTCCGCAGTGATCAACGCGGTCAAGTACGACATCCCAGAGACACTCATCAATTTCCCTCCGCCCCCAGTGGTTCTTATTGCCAGTGCAATCTCCTCGCGCGCGTCCGAGTTGTTCTTCGGCGTTATTCCGCCTCGCAGGTTATTGATATCTTCAGTTCATAACTTCCTTACGCTCATCCCTCCTGGATGTGGGCGAGACGAGGAATTGCCGTCGGCCTCGAACACGAAAAATACACACCGCCCGGGCGGGAATCCCGGGGGGGGGGGGCCGTGGGCCGTGCTGGGCCCCAGGTCCGTCGCTGTGTGGCCCCGCGGAGAGGCCCGGCCCTGGGTTGCGCGCTGCCGCAGTGTTCAGGATCTATCGGCGGTCATGGCTGGCTCCGGTCTCGTCTTTCCTTGTTTCAGGATCCTGTTTCACACGTGGCAGGCATGCTGTTGTGCATCGTCGTTTGCGGTGGTTGGCAGCCTTATACCAGCCATCGTGGGCCTACAAGTGTGAGTTGTAGCAATGTGGAGGTGGACACTGCGGATTAAGTTGTGTCGTCTCCGCTATATGGTATAAGTTCTGCGAAGTAAGCTATGTGGTGCTAGCTACGTTGTGTCAGCTGGTGGTGGTGTGAGAAAAAGAGGTTTCATTTCTGCTGTGTAGGCTGCGCGTGGTGTCACTTGTGTTGTGTAAGCTGTGCGGTGGGACCTGGGCAGTGTGCGCTACAGTTGGGGTGCTGAAGAAGGAACCCTGTTCGTTGGGAAGGGGCTCCGTGCTCCTTTATTGCGCCGCAGGTTGCCTCAGGTTTCCTTAGTTGTTCGATGGAAATCGAAGTTCAACTTATGGGAACATGTACCTCGTTCCTTATTCAGGGTTCCTTAGGTCGACGCCCCGACTGTACGCTGTGTAAGCTGTACTGTGAACTCTATGCGGTGGAGGAGGAGGAGAAGGGAGGAGGAGGGAGAAGGAGGAGGAGGAGGAGGAGGAGAGGAGGAGGAGGAGGAGGAGGAGGAGGAGGGCGGACGAAGGAGGAGGAGGTGGAGGAGGAGGAGGAGGGAGGGAGGAGAGGAATCGAGAGAGGGGGGGGGCCACACCACCAGGGAGACCACCCTTGCTCCTCGCATCTCCTCGATCTGGCGGTGTTGGTGTCGCCTTTCCTTGCTCCTGTCGGGAGAGGTGGGGAGGCTGTTCGTGCAGGACTCGATCCGCCAGATCGAGGGCGAGTTCGACATGCGGCGGGAGGCGCCGCCTCCCTCGTCCGTCCTCTCACCCCCCTCGTATTTGCCCCCTCGTCCGTCCCCC